ATCATAGAACATCACTCGTCAGATAACCTGGTAACCATTATATTACGGAAAATGTTTTCCTATGACCATGGAAAAACCCATATGGTTGTCAATGTGGAATGATTTATAATAAAAATTAACATGTATTTATGTACCTACATCTTTTCAATTAATTATAATGAGAAAATTTTCTTTTACTGCCCAAAAAATAGTCGTAAATCGTAATCCAGAAAATAACCTAAATGTTTTAAAAAAACAGATTGCTAAATTTTAGTACCTATATAGAATGAAAACATAGGTACCTTAGTTTATGAAAAATCATAAAGAAAATCTCACTGGGGAAGACATTATATCATGAACATAACTTTAGAATTACAAGGAAATAATATAATATCTTCATCGAATATCGATATATAAATAAAATCGAACGTGTTCTGACGGAATTTTATATAATTTATAAAAATTAATGTTGTGTAGCTTAAATACTTAAAATAAATAGGTAGTTACTCAAAACTATTTGACTGATTATTACGAAAATTACTAATTTTTCTTAGAGATATTAGTAAAATTAAGAGAGAAGTTTGAACCACGTTTTAAAATATACCAAGTGGCGCCAACTGCGAAGGCTGAGCAAGTTAATGATATTTTTTAACTCAGTTAAGTTAGCTTAAAAGTATTTTTTTTCAACTAAATTAAAATTTAAGTTAATAGATATTTTTAATACATCAACCCGGGCCTAAAACACTTATTAATTTAGCTGTTACCTATGGGCTTTGATAGATTTCTAAAGCAAAAAAAACTTTCAAATTAATATTTGACACGCATCTGTCATTTAGGGGACATAGGTACTTTGATTTTCAAGGGACACAAAGTATGTCAGGAGACACAGTATCTCAGCCACTGACATCAATTAAGTTTAAATTAAGTTAGCAAATACTGTGAACTTAACTTAGCTACAGTTAATAAGTTAAGTTAAGTTAATTTTTTTTAAAAATGCATTAAAAAGGTGTTAAAATAATAAATTATAATTATAATCACTTGTATAGTATTATACATTTATACCTATCAAAGTATCAACTTATATAATATATATTATTATGTATGTATAATTTAAAACCTGTAAGGCTTGTGTAATGATACATTTTAGAACTCTATTCATGTTTCATGATGGGTTCATTTAAAAATAAATATTGTGAGTAAATATGCAGCTTACTGTAATACCGTATTGTTCAACACATTTTATAATTCAAAATATAAATTACTCAAAAACTTAAAACTTATAAAAAACGAATATTTCAACTTATAATAAGTGATGAATATTATATACTAGCTGGTCTCACGCACAGAAAAAATTGAAGGGGGGTGTCAGCGCCCCCAGGCAAATACAATTTAGAAAGAAAAAAAAATGTTGAAAAAATTATACAGTAGGAACTCACATTTAAAAAAAGTCGCTCTGCTGTACAGTAGGTTACAAATGGGTCACTGTAATGTGTAATGGATGGTGGTAAATTTGAATTCAATGATATAATATCATTGTATAAGAAAAACGATTCTGAGCGAAAACAGTCAGTCAGCCTAGATATTACTAAGTATATTTGATGATATTATTGTGAATAAAGTAATTTATATATTTACCTATTTACGTGGACCCTTGTTTTAAATTTTCGATCCTTAGCTATAAAAGTTGAACATTTTATAAATTTTTAACTACAAAATAATTATTAAATTTTAAATATGATAAATGTTGTCAAAATTCGACCTTTAATGCTTATAAAAAAAAATTGTGCCTATACATTTTTAATATTTTTCAACTGCTATTGTTATAATATATCAGGAGCCTTGCATTAAATTTTCACGCTTTTTACCCAACAAATAAAATTTTATTGATATTTATAGAAAAAAAAACTAAATAAATTTAAAACTGGTAATGTCCGTAAACAGCTCAAAAAGAGTCAAAACATTTTCAAATTTTTTTGTTGTGTAGAAATGAAAATATAAACATCCAGTAAAATTTCTATGAATCTACAGTTATTCGTTTTTGAATAACAATAAGATAACAAAACCGCTACATGAAAAAATCGAGTGAATATCCAATCTTGTAAAAATATGAACTTCAAAGGCTCATAAAAATTTTATTTTATTTGCTTGTAAACATTTTTTTTTTTTGATAAAGGTAGATAAACTTATGAGTACCTAATCTTGTATTACATTTTCAAATCTTAGATTTAAAAAGAAAATAGTTTATGAATTCTCAACAAAATAATTTGCTAATTTTCGTGATTTTTCCGTATTTTGTCAATATTTTAACTTTAAATGCTTATAAAAATAAACTGTCACTAAGGATTTTTAATCTTTTTGAACTACTGTTGTAACAATATAGTAGGATCCTTCTATTAAATTTTCAAGCTTTTGTACCCAACAAATAATATTGTATTGATATTTATAGAATAAAAAACTAAAAAAAATTGGAAAATGAAAATGTCCCTAAACAGCTCAAAATAAGTCAAAATATTTTAAAAAAGGCATGGTGTATAGACAATGCTAATATAAACAGTCATTAAAAATGTCATGTATCTAAGGTCATTTGTTTAAGAGTTGTACCAAAAACCAGAATCGATTTTTTCAAAAACAGATTTTGCGTACAAATTCCAGTTTTTCCTTAATTTTTCTTTTTTTTTCACGGTGCTTTTGAAAACTACTGGAAATTTTTTACTTTTGACCCCCTAAAGAACCAAATAGAACTTTCCTTTCAGAAAAGATACTGTTGAAGAAAATCTAAGCATTTTTACTGTCCTAAAAGGTGATACAGACAAGGTGTCCTAAAAAATAAAAATGTTTAGGTAATTCAGTAAAATTTTCATGTATATACAGTTATTTGTTTTTTAATAACAGCAAAATAACAAAACCGCTACATGAGAAATCTAGTGAATATCCAATATTGTAAAAATATTAACTTCAAACGCTTATAAAAATGTAATGTGATTTGCTTGTAGACAAATTTTTTCTTGATAAAAGTAGGCAAACTTATGAATAACCTTATATTATATTTTCAAATTTTAGATTTAAAAAGAAAAATTTTTATGAATTCTCAACTCAAAATAATTTGCTAATTTTCATAATTTTTCCGTATTTTTTCAAGATTTGAACTTTAAATGCTTATAAGAAAAATTGTGACTAAGGATTTTTAATCTTTTTAAAATGTCATTGTAACAGATTAGTAGGACCCTTGTATTAAATTGTCAAGCTTTTTTACCCATCAAATAAAGAATTCATAGAAAAAAAGGCTAATAAAATTGGATACAGAAAATTTTTCTAAACAGTTCAAAAGAAATCAAAATATTTTGAATATTTCATCGAGTATAGAAAATGCAAATATAAACAACCAGTGAAAATTGCATTGTTTTATAGAGTTACACCAAAAACCAAAATCGATTTAGTGGGAAACCGATTTTGCGTAAAAATTCCCATTTTACTTATAGTTTTTATGTTGTTTTCCCGGCGATTTTGAAAATTTTAAATTTTGAACCTCCCCAATGCACCAACAATATTCACTTTCCCATCGAACAAGATTCTGAAGTTGAAAATCGAAGCATTATTTCGACTACTTATCGTGTACACAGACACAAAAAAAAACATATCATTGCAAAATCAATACATTCATCGTTCCACTCAGAATCTAAAATTATACCTACCTATAAAATAAAATAAAAATAAGCCCTAACGGCCAAAATACAATTTGCCAAGGGCACCACGAATGGTAGTTTCGGCACTGAGTCTTAACTATCACTATAGCTGGAGTGGTGTTCTATCTCTATACAGTTTATGGTATGCTGTATATTTGTAAGATGGAGATAACAGTACAACACTCGCGGGTGTAACGTCCTCTTAATTGGGAATGTTATTACACACTCATGTTGCTACTTGCTAGTTGATACTCTTCATTTATTTTTTATTTAGGTTCGCCACACTACCGTGTTGCTGAATGCCTGAATATTTATAAATAAGTGTCAAATATCCAGTGTTGGGTAGTAAGTAGTAACGTAACTTCGTTATTATTATTTTTGGGTAACGCAAGAGTAGGTAACTACGTTAATTATTTGGAAGTAACTTAGAGGATGAACGGATTACATCATACATTTTTTTATGCGGGAGAGGGGGGATATATCGTGGTGCTACCTACTTCACGACAGTCCTTCCTCTCGTATCCTCATCAGAAAATTTAATTATATTAATAATTTAAGTAGGTATTTATTTAATTACCACATTTTCCCAGTATAATCTAATATAATTATATAAATAAACAATTTTGTCTTAATATTATTTTTAATTTAACTAATTATAATCATCGATTACAGTCTATAAAGGCGGCAACTGATTTAGTTTATTTATTTTTAGATCATATCTGATAAAATATGTACATCGACATACGGACAGACGGTCGTGTACGGATTTCTGCTAATAACATAATAATATTATTAACGTCACTGTCACTACTGAAACTATTTTTTTATAGTTACTTTTGTGTAAAAAATGTAACGTTACGCATTACTATTGTACTTGAATAACTAACAAGTAATCTAGTTACCTATTTTATTTTGTAACTATATAGTAATGTAACTTGGTTACTTTTAAAAAGTAACTTACCTAACACTGCAAATGTCAAATGTCCACTTTCAAGTAAAATCAGACTGATGGCAAAGTATAAGTCTCCTATAAAAACCTCATCATTATGACAAAACATACACATGAATTATAAAAAAGTAGGTAGACAAAAATAAGTTTAATCATTAATCAATTATGTATATTGACAACTAAAATTGTAATTATATTTTATACAAAAGAAGTTATATTTTAACTAATTCCTTAGATGAGCTTTCTGTATTCTGTCAATTGTAAATTGTAGTTATAATATAGTCTATACTTCATTAAATGCAGTTGAATAGGAATACATTTTATTTATTATCCATAATGGACAAATACTCAAAAAAATTTAATCATCTTTGACATTAAAATTTTAATTGTCAAGGTCTTTTCCAAATTAAACTCTTTAAATACGATAATTTAGCTTCTGGCTCAGTCATAAACATGGAATTCCATATAGATTTTTTAATCCATACCACTCTATATCCAAGTATTTCCAAATGCCTTTGCTTCAATTTAGAAAGCCCTCTCATTTCATTATCAGTCTTTCGCAAATCTTTTTCATTCAGAAGAAGCAAAACTAATCTAGTAGAAAAAGTATTAATTAATATTTTGAATATTTAATAAATGTAAACTTACTTCTCATTTTTATTTTCCCTCTTAAACTGTTTTGATTTATTCAGAATTATTTCAAAATCTAATTTGTATCCATATGGAGAAAAAGAGTTTGCTTTCAGATAACCTTTATTTTTAATTAATTGACCTACTCTTTTTTCCACGTCCAAATAAAATGAACCAGTATGTTTAGGAACTAAAAAATAAATAATTAAATAAATAATTATCTGTAAAGTAATATTGTGATATTCTTTTTTGTACCTAATGACTGGATTTCTTCACAATACTTAGTATGAAACCACGGTACATCAAATTCTGGATAATCAATACATACAGCTCTATTTAATATCATTAATAATTGCCTTACTTTTAATGGATATGTAGCCTAAAAATATTTTGTGATAAAAAAATTATGTTTAAATTAAAGTAATAATTTAGTTATTAAACATAAATATACAATTCACCTTAGCATAACAGTTATTTAACTCATCATCTAATTTTTCTAAGAACTCAACACTAAATAAATAATCTTTTATGGATGTAGGTAGACTATAAAAATAACATAAAGCAAGTGAAGCTCTCATGAAATTTAAACCAGACATTTTAAATTTATCCCTAAAAATAAAAATAAATTATTAAATTAAAACTATGAATTATTTAAGACTAACTTTACCTGTTAATGATTTCAGTTGCATAAGGTAGAAATTCTATAAATTTTTCACTATTAACTCCATACAAAAAAAATACTGTTAATATTTTTTCTACATTTTCGGCTAACAAATATTTGTGATTTTTTATTAAATACTTCAAGCATTTGTCTAAGAGCTCAGCATCATACCAATCAGATGTAACTAAATTGTAAGTCAGTTCTCTTATAGTCCTAGATGAAAAATGTTCAGACGTAAAGTTTTTATACCTGTAAAATATTTTGTTATTAAATATTTTAAAAAAACTAATGTTATTAGAAAAAATACATTATATAGTATTTACCTATCCAGTATTTTATAAAATAGTTCTGGTTCTTTAACATTATATCGATGATTATATCCTCGATACAAGGAATTTATTTGATCTATACTTAAATTTGGTTCTTGATTTAGAATTTCTAAACATCTTTTGTTAAGTGCAGTACATAGCCTCACCTTAATAACAATTTAAAAATGATTAAAGTATAAGTATACAAAGTAATGTAGAAATCAAAGTTGATTGTATAAGATATAAAATCTATTGTATATAAATATATAATATATCAATTTATATATTTAATTCAATTCAGTATGTTGTCATTTTCTAAACATAATACCCTATAATTATATAGGTATATAATATGTAAATTGTACACAGTTTATATATCTATATTATAATATCCGCCTTAAAATGTAACAAATAATGTACCAATTGCCCTCAATACATTTCAGGTTTATATACTAATTGCATTCAATGTATTTTTACTGATCTTTAAAAATTTAAAGTTATATGTTATAACTTTGGATTGTAATATTAATTATGGAATTGAATAACTTATTGATTTAGTACAATATAATTATAAACTCTTTGAAATAAATCTTAATTAAAATTTGGGAAGGTAAATACAGGAATAAGAATATACACCATAATATATTCATATATTTAATATTATATTATAATTTGACTTGAAATCAATAACAGACTATGTGCCAAAAATTAAAAATCGAATTTATCTCAGAAATGTGGTAAGTGGCAAGTCCCAAATTTTAGTCTTATTTTTGAGTAAAAAATATTTTGTATTCAGAAATAATTGAACCAGTTACATTTGAAAGAAAAATTCTAGAGTCTATAACAGGAATAAATACAAACATTGATTACCTTTGCTTCAAATATTGACAATATCCAATATCCAATAACAACAATATATGAAAATTCATGTTACTTAAACAATATATACCTGAAAGTAGGTAAAAAAAATCGATGATGAACACATTTTAATCTTGAATTGTACATTTGTACTTAATTATTAATTAAATTAATTATTATAAAATAGTGTATTATGTACTATATTATACATATTTACTTATTTTAATATTTTAGTTTATTCATTAATTATTTATTTTGTGATTCCAAATAGGTAAAACAATAAACAAGCATATTGAATGCAATTGGTACAAAAGTAGTGTATAATAATATTATTATATTAATTAATTAATACTACAGTTTAAAGTAAAATAAATAAACGCTACTTACATATTGATCTAAGAACATTGGCAATGATGTTTTATTCTTTCGATTAATAAATGCAGTATTCAGACCTCTACTAATAATGTAACAATCATATACACTATATTGACCAACAGTATCTAATACTTTTTTAACCATTACTTCAGGCATTTCATATCCAATATTTTCATTAGGATAGCTTATAAAAAATGAAAATATTTTACTAAATTTGGATGGAATTATTGCTGACACTCCTTGCTCTAATTCCTCATTTAACCAATTGATCATTTGATTTTCAAATTTATAATGTCTGTATGTTCCAGACATATTGTTATTAAAATTCATGTATCTATAAAAAAAAATCAAGTTTTCTAAACTAATAAAATATAAAAACAATAATTATAATGTTAATAAAATTAAATCCCTCGTCCCTCTCAATCTGATCATGCCACTGAGGTATGTAAATTAAAAATGTTAACCTGTTACATATTCGTAATAGCTTATGATGTTCACGAATTAAGGGTTTCCCAGATATTAGCCAATCCAATACACTTGACCAATAAGCATTGCATATATGTAAATCAGATGTTTTTAAATTTCTGATAATATTGAACAAGGGTCCAATACATAATTGAGAAAAACTATTGTTTAATAAAAATTGTTTTCTTAGTAAGGATTCTATATGTTTTCGTCTAGATGCAGATGAAGATGGTACTATACAAGATAATAGTCGAAGTACAGTGATGTCAGTATCAACATCTGCTTTGGATAGCCATTTAGATGTCTCATTGTGTATTTCCTCAAATAACTGATACGGTTCAGATTGTTTCACGATAATCTTAAACAATTGTTAATTATTCATTTTTTAAAATAATTAAATTAATCTTTAGAATATGATTTTAGATTGAATGTGTGATCAAAAAATATTCCATACCATTTGTAGTTGTATCATATCATATAGTGCTATGTGTTTAATAACACCTTGTAAATTGAGCAACAAAGATCGTGTGAGATCAATGTTTTGATTAATCCAGTAAGGACTATTTATTAGTCTCAGCACTTTCACTATGCATTTGATTTTATCATCATGTTGGGGTTTGTTCAGCAAAGTGTGTTCAACTATTGTAACAAAGTTATCCATGATAGATTTGTTTAAAAACCACGGCAAATTGTACAAACATATGGAAATATGTTTTATATCTTCATAAGTTTCGCATAAATCTAAGACAACAAATAATAAGTCATAAGTAAAATTAAATTTGGAGTTAGCAAATGTATGTTCTTACTTAGTTTTTTTAATACAATTGGCCAAATGTCTTTAAGGATATACAGACCTAAAAGGTCTCTATGACTCACAATTGATACAGTAAATCTAGATAATATGCAGGGTTCTATTTCTTCTACAGGAGTAGTCATCAATATTTTTTGCAGCCTATATGATAGTTTATTACTTACTGTACAATTTATATCAACTCCAATTTTATGTAAACACAATAAACTGTAAGATAAACATTGGATGTTCATGAACTCATAATGTTCTTCCATTAAATTCAATAGGTTCAAAAAATCATTATTTGTTAAAATGTTTTCAAAACTATCCTCAGGAGTGATATAAGAATTCAAGTTCTTTTCAAACATGCACACTCTGTAGTATATTATTTGAAGTTCTCTAACCATAGCTATAGCCATAGAGATATTTTTCCAATTCAATTGATTATTGTTGTTTCTCAAGATATCAAAAATGTCTTGCAAAGATTTACATTCACTTATTTTTATTGCTAGTGTATCATTATTATCTAGTAATATAATATTTTTAATGTCTCGTTTTTGTTCAATATCCTCAGTATCACTATCAGTTTCATCTCCTCTAAAAGAATGAAAACAATATTTTCTGTGAAATTGGTGAAGTGGGAATACTAATTTTAGAGGATTTGTTTGATACAATTTAGTACAAAAAGCATTATAATTTATGGTTTTATGTCTCGTTTTCATGTGAATAATTTTGGTGTATATTTTTAAATTTGTACCAAATTGTTTAAATATTGTCATTTTACCTGAAAAAAAAAAATATATCAAAATATATTTAACATATTTGAAATATATTGACATGCATTTCTTTACCTATGTTATTAAGTCCAAAAGCTTAAATTATAAATTTGTTTTACTTCTTTAATTTTATTTATTTTCAAGCACCACTGGTATTATGTTGTTATAAAGGAAATTCTACACTACACTTTTGAAGCATTTATTCTAAACAAAAACAAATAATTTTGTTTGCAGGTACAATTCAAAAACTAAAAATATAGTGGTACAATTTAATATAATTTAAACTGAAATTGTATTTATTGTGATAGTAATATATAGTATATTTTTATACCATATAGAAACAATATATTAATTTAATGTTTAATCTGTATATTTTGAGACTACCTACGGATATAGTTTTCAAAATTAGCTATATACCTTTTGTTACTAAATATTTAATAATATCAATACTTACTCATTTATGTATATTTTTATAACACTTCATCATACAAATGAAAATAAAATATATTTAATAATTTGTTTTCGTTTAATTTCTTTATATGTATACGTATAAAATATAAATAAGTTTGTCTTTTTAATAATTCTGGTATTACAATTATTAATCACCAATAATAACCAATAACTAATTTACTATTTAAATTTTAAATTTCAAATAAATTTAATTTTAATTTTTTATCTTGTGATTAAAACGATGTGTTTTTAACATGTGTTTGATAACAAAATTTGATAATGATCAATCGTACCAAACTTTCAATAATAATTTAAAGTTTTCTGTATATTTTGATGACATCATCATTATTCATGGTAAACGTCATCTCCGGTCATACTGAATGTGATTGAGATTCAATTTTATCTTATCAACAAATTCTATAATAGTTTCTCACTTTCTCAGGTTTCTCTGCTTACTAGTTACTACTTACCAGTTGTGTAAAAAGTATTAAAATTTACAACTTTCAAGTCAAAGTTATTATTAAAATAATATAATATAGCAAATGATATTATTATTGCATTCCGTCTTACACAAAGAGTCTTTTAGTTCTAAAATTACATTACATTATTGCCATTTATATTAACTAACATAACTACAGGTAACAGAAGATTATTAATTAGTGAATCATTACTTGTATGGTATGATTATAAATTATAATAATATACAATTTACAACACTATTATAGTTACCACTTTTGCAAAACTTTATAACTTTATAACTTAATATATATTATTAGCATTAAATATCAACAATATGTCTGAAGCAAAAGTTAATAGCGAAGACATAGAAATTGTATTCCAGCGGCTTAGAGCGTTGCCAGTCAATAAAGTAATTATGCTTAAAATACTACTGTACTACTTACTATAAGTTTTTACTCTGTACTATACCTAGTCTAAAATGTATATAACTTTAGTATGAGTTGATACTAAATTGTATGAAAATCATTAGACCTTGATCATCAATTGATCAATATAATAAAAATCTGATAATTTAAAAGTTCATATTTTATAAATATATTTAATTAAGTAATATCTAAATATACATTTTATTCAATGTTAATACAGGAAGTAAAATGATTTCCCATAGAAAAATTTATTTAAAAATCATACCTATATATTTATTAAATAATTCAATTTATATTTTGCTTGACTCTATTAGTTTTATTTCACTAATTGAGTTTTTTTTATGTTTTAGTTATATAGGAGATATTAAGCATGCTCACTCTATTTCCATGCTTTAGTTATGCATACATTCAAATTCTGATTTTGGAATTTTTAAATATACTTAAAGACTTTGTTTTTGAATTCTTGAGACTTTTGTACCACTTAAGGATGATCCTGTGAAAATACTAAATTATCTTTTTCAAATAGGAGCCCCTATTTTTTTGTTTTTAATTATTAAGGAGATTATTTTTTGAGAATTTTGATGTGTAAATCAAAATTCAAGCAAGTTGTTTTTGAGTTATATAACTTTGTTTACTAAGGATAATATGTCTATGGTAATCTGTTAATTGGGGGCCTACACAATTTGAAAAAGTTGTAAATTACTATTGATCTATAAATATAAATAATTTGTAAAAATTATCCAAGTATAATAGTTATTACATATAGTTTATATTTTTAAAGATTATTATCCTTAGTATAAACATTTTTACACCTCAGAAATTACTCATTAGAATTTTGAATTAGATACATTGTTAAGAAAATCATTCGTTAAATAGTTTGCAGTAAAAAAGAAGCTTTCTCATTTGAAAAATAGAGGTTTGTATCATCACAGGACACTATGGTCTATATCAGAAATTTGAAAATATGGTCTTTAGGTGTACTTACAAATTCTAAAAATCAGAATTAGAATAAATGTTCTATTAAAGGGAAAATGGGGGTTAGTATGCTTAAAATATCACCTAATAGATGATTTTGGTTAATGCTTGTACATTAATTGAACTTACAAAAGTATAATATTCAATAATAATAGAACAATAGAATATTTTTCTACTAGTAATTTATTATAATGTGTACAAGTAAACTCATCGTATTGATTATGTCTACTTATCTAACTCAAATACCTATAAACCAATTGATTACCTTAAAATATTAAATACAAATTAGCTTTTATTGTTCATCAACTTTGAAAATAAATCAATATATAACTGTTTCAGACATGTTTTGACTGTAATTCAAAAAATCCAACATGGTCGAGTATTACATATGGTGTGTTTATTTGTTTGGATTGTTCTGCAGTACATAGGAGCTTGGGAGTTCATTTGACTTTTGTAAGGTCTACTCAATTAGACACAAATTGGACATGGTTGCAAATGCGGCAAATGCAATTGGGTGGAAATTCAAATGCTGTATTAAGAACTTACTATTTTTATATAGCTCTATAGATTTTAACATTATACACTTATAACTTATATTATATGATATTTTATAGACAGTTTTCTTCAGGCAACATAACTGCATATCTAAAGATGCACAGCAAAAATATAATTCCAGAGCTGCTCAACTATATAGAGATAAACTTTTACAAAATGCTAAACAAGCCATGAAAACTTATGGAACACAGGTATTTTATACCCCAAAAAAAGTTGTATTTATTTATGTATTGTTACTATTAATTTTTTGATGAAAATATACAGTGGAACCTCTAAATACCGGACACTCTCGGTTATCGAAATGTTGTCCACTATATAGTGTTCAGTACTTCAGTTTGTATACATTTTGTAGTGTATTCCCAAAAAACGTCCGCTATTTGGAGGTGTTCGTTAAGGGAGGTTTCAATGTATTTAAATTAAATCCCATAGAAGTCTTATAGCTAACTATTTTTTTAATATAATTTTATGAACGGTATGTGCATTTGATTGCAATATGTGTTTACTATACTCAGTTCAGCGAGAAAACGTATAGATTCTGTGCATACACCCGTGTCACCCGGCTACTGAAGCCAGTTCCCGAATTGCAGGGTATTGGGTGGGAATGTGCCGAAGACCAATTTTGGGCGGGCGTTCTCTCACTGAACAGAGTAATAGTATCTGGTATGTGCTACTATACCATACACATAATTGACCATTTTCTACTGACACAAAGACGAGATATATCCACAAAAAAATAGTATATATGTAACATGTTTGCAGGGACTTTAATCAATATCCTTTATGTTTTATTTAGTTGTTTTTGGACCAATCACACGAAACAATTGAAGTGAAACCAGTAGATTTCTTTGAAGAACATACAACTAATGTTAATTCATGTAACGACAACTTTTTAAGTAACAATTTTATGCCATTTACTTCTCCCAAACAAGTATGTGTGATCAAAATTTTTCTTTTTACATAATTATTAATATTGTTAAGGTTTGAAAAGTATATTATTTTTAGGGTAATGGTGATACAACACTTCTAGGAGGCACTAAAATCTTAAACGATGCGGCACAAAAATCAATAGATCATAAAACTTTATTAGGAGGTCGTCAAGCACATAGTAAAAGATCCGGAGTAAGTAAACAACTTAGATAAAGAATAATAACAAATTAGTTAAGTATTTTACATTATTCTGAACTTTATTTTGCCAATAATTATTGTTAATACATTTTTATAACATTTTACTTGGAACTATGTAATTAATGTATAGTTGTAAAGTAAAAAAAAATCGGTACACAACCTACACTCTTATTTATGGTCCTATATTGGACCTACTCTCTGATTCACAGTTAAATACACTACCTACATCATTAATGTAAAATACAAATTAATTTCATACATTTTTTATTCTACTTTTCATGGCATCAATAGCCATATTGTTTTAGTCAGTTGTTGTGAAGCGTCTTTTTCATATCTGACAAAAAATCATCAAAAATGGTTCTTGAATTTTACATGATCTCGACTACTCTTCTTGGAGTTGTCTATCTAGTAAAAGAGACGTCCCATTTTTTAAAATATTGTATTTGTATTTTATAATTATCCTCAAGCCTTCAATTTGTTGAGTGTGTACTCGTGTTTCCGGGTCAATAAAATATTCAGAGTGATTAACCATTAGATGATTTTAATGATATTAATATTCAGGGTGTATCACGACGAATAGTAATTTTCAAATGTTATTTTGATGTATATAACAGTCTGATCTTCTTGATACATTCTGTATAACTAAACAATTTTTTGGTATATAAAATAATAAATATTCCATTGTAAAATAAATGTTGCTTTTAGTTGGGAGGCAAAAGATTAGGTATGGGTGCTCAGAAAGTACATGCTAATTTTGCTGATATAGAAAAAGAAGCAGAATTAGCTGATAAAATGAAATTTAGCGAACCAGAAAAAACCGAAAATATAGAGAAATCTAATGAAGACCAAGAAACTCAGGTATATAAAATTGAATAATATATATTTTTATGGATACCAAACTTACAATTTAAAAAATGGATTTATGATTAACAGATGTCATCAATGAGGTTAGCCTATCAAGATTTGAGTTTAAAAAAGAGTAAAGAAGAGGAAAAATTAAAACAAGTTGATCCT